ACCTCCTTTCTTCTATGTGCCATAATATTGCTCCCATGAAGATCTGTTATGCCATTTTCCAACCTGCCTGGCCTAATTTCCTACACAACAGGATGGAGAATCTTGCACTCTAAGAAAAGTGGCCTTAAAGAGTTGCCAGCTTTGGTCAGCTCCTTTGTCTTTAAGGACAGTTTCCCAAGGGATCTCATTCACCAACTCCTTAAACATCTGGAAGTTTGCTCTTCCAAAGTTCAGGGTCCTGACTTGGCTCCACACCAGGCCCCACTCCTTGAGATCACTCACTCCCCCAGGGCATGGTCACTACAGCCCAGACTGTCTCCAATCTGAATGTCTCTAATGAGCTCATCCACATTGGCGAGCACTGGTCCAGTAATGCCTCACCTCTGGTTATTTTGTCCAATACCTGGACCAGAAAGTTATCCTCCACACACTTCAAGTCCCCTGGATTGCTTGCAGCCGGCTGTATTGTGCACCCAGCAGATGTCCATGTGGTTGAAATCCCCCATGAGGATGAGAGCTTGCCAGCATGATGCTTCCTGTATCTGAAGGAAGAAGACCTCATCCACAGGCTCACCCCGATGCTATCTCAACAAATGGTCACAACAAAGCCTAATGTTTCAATAGAAAAGGTGAAGTCACTGCTATGTTCAAATATTCCTTTCTTGAATTTATTCCTAATCTCTGCAAAGTGGAGAAACCCCCCATCATATAGGCAGGATTACATATTAGACAAGTGAAAATCCAAATTAAAAAGTAATGTGGTGTGAACATGTGAATGTGAACTTCACTTAGAGTAGTTCCTTGGTGTGGATTTAAAGTGAACCTTCTGTATTGCCCGTGTTAGTTTATAGGAAGGATGCAAATTAAATACTACTTTTGCATACCTTTGTACCTTTGGAGTGTGAGGAAATGCATTACATCTCAATGACCCCATTCTCCTATATTGGGCTTGTTGAATTAAACCACAGTATGGCAGCATGTGTCCCGCTGGCAGGTTAAACATGGGCAAGCCCAACTTCTCCACAGCTGGAATCCTTTGCTTTTGTGTTTGGAATAAATTTTGTTCAGAGACTAGTGGACTAGTCTGCTGCCTTCTGAGTTTCATGTATTAATAATCTGCAGAAACTTAATGGAGAAAAGATGAGAGAAAAGCAGCAATAAAAATGCCAGAAATTAAATGCCTTCAATCACTGAAAGTGAAACTCTGACAAACAGCCTTTCAGAGGTAATTCCTGTGTAATTGTGTCTAAAACTTGACCTTTTTTTTTAGCATACGAAACAGTATTTTCTCAAATGGCAAAACAAATTGCTTTGGATGGTTATCATTTCTGTTCTGAATGTAGTTTCAAAGAAAACAGGACATTGATACAATAAAACATGCAACACCGAAATATTTTTTTTACCTCCTTTACTCAGCAGAAGGAGTATCCTGCAGAGCTTTTCAGCTCTTAAGTAAGATACATTAGAACTATCAAAAACCAGTTTTTAAAAATTACTAGAACTAGACCATGTGAAACCAACCTTTCTGAGGAACAAGAGAGCAAAATTAGACTCCTCAAAAAATATCTCATCCATTAAAATCTGGCAAGTCTAAGAAGCGATTTGCAAATAATGCCAATGTACTACAGTTATGCATTGGAGCCAATATAATCCCCATTTCTGTGATGGAGATGGATGCAGATGTCATGCAAACCTCTGTTGTGTTTGTGGATTTTCAAATATGTTTGTCTCTCCTTCATGTTGTGCCACTCATGTAATAACAAAGTGTAATTCATGCCAGTTGCTGGGCCAGCAAAAGGGAAATGATGCCTTTGCACAGTACCTTGATAATCTGTGCTGTCTTACTCTCTTGATAGTACATAGTATTCTGCTAGCTTTTGTCAGCTGAAGGGGAAAAGCATCACTTTTACATGGCTGCTGGCTAGTGGCTGTTACATTTTGCATAGAGTGTGAAGCCAGTGAATTGCTGTTGCTGAGACAGGAGGCAAGTAGAAGGTTCACGTTTTGGAGATCAACTACAAAGTGTGGATTTGGTATAAGTGGGTGCAGTGATGCCTTCCTCAAGTTGCAGGCAGCTGCAGTCACACTTTCACTGCTCAAAGCTTTGTTCACCAAGAACCAAATGAAATAAAAATGTGGTTGGTTTTATTTGGCTACCAAAAGGCCTGTGAGCAGCAAGAGGCACCAGTGCCTCTTTTCCAGCAACTCTGTGTTTAGACTTATATCTTGGAGCATTATTGCCCACAGACTTCCTTCATCTTCCCTTTTCCCTTCCTCCCTAATTTCTTTGCCTTCTCTGTGTCTGATAGAGGTCTTGAGCACAACCTCAGGCTTTAGGAAGGCACTCTCATCCACCAGCAGTCTCTCTGGGAATGAGAGACACTGACATGGCTTCTACTGCAGTCTCTCTGGAGGGAAGCCCAAAGGATAGCAGGTTAAATCCTTCCATCATGTATGTGAACCAGGACTTTAGAGCCAGATTTACCATAACTAGGAGTTGCTGAAGCTGTTATTCAGCAATTGGCCACCTGAAATTACAAAGGAAGTGGTTTTGAAGCTACATAGGTATTGCTTTTTAATAGAGACAGTGTTGGTCAGGGTAGAATTCGATTTGGATCCTCTCCCCTTGAAATGTCTTATTTTTAATACTCTTTTAAGTCAACTTGTTGCCTTGCTTCTCTCCTAATTTTAGGAGTTTTTGGAAGTATTGGAGTGTTATTTTTCTGCCGAGTGGGAGAAAGGAATTGCCTTTTATTTGGTGAATGTTTGCAGGGTGGAGGTATTTTTGTGGAAGATTGTTCTAAAGCTGCCAATGATACTTCTAAGGAATACTAGCCAAGCCTGTGGCATTAAATAATCCTTCAGGTTGCATCATTTTTTACCATTTTGTATTTTGACTTTACAGCTAGTAATAGTTTTGCAATATGCTAAGTAAGGTATATTTTGCATTTAAAAACCTATGATCTTTGTGTTAGCATGGCTGCAAACACTGAGAAGAATGGTCTTCCCAGAATGGTTTTGCCATTTTTAACATATAATGTGTTCTAATGTGCTAGGTAACAAAAATAACAAAGAAGAGGTCTTAGTGCTCTCTTCTGCATTCTTAGTAAGTTGTATGCTTACAAACAATTACATAATGCTAATTTACTTTTTTCCCCCACAGGATATGGTCTTCATTGCCACCGAGCTATCATCACCATCTGCAAACTAATTGGCATTAAAGACATGTATGCCAAGGTTACTGGATCTAAAAACTTGATTAACATTACCAGAGCTCTCTTCAAAGGCCTGACCCAACAGGTAGATGCACTCTCAGTGGTTCTATCCATTAGATCAGGGAACAGAAGGGGATTGATACTGCAATAGTTTGTGGTCAAACAGTTTACATTATAGACTTTAATTTGAATTGCTCACAATGGAGATGTGTCTGTCTGAGCCAGTTGCCTGTACTTAATGGAAAAGATCCAACATGCAGCATTTCATCTGATTTCCTTTGAACACCAGCCTCAGGATGAGTCAGTCCTTTTGAAATTCCAGGTTATCTCATTTGTTCATGGTTTTGGTATCTGCCAAGGTTTAGCTGCTTGCATTCCCAATACAGCCCTGCAAAGCTATAGTTGTCAAATCTGTCACCCCATCCCAGCCAATAATATCAGTTTATCCTCAGGAGGTGAGTGAGTTATGATCCTCTTTGCCTAATGAGATAGTTACAGTTCTCATAGCTGCTAGTGTCTGTGGTTAATCAGACTCAAGGAAGTCTGGCACATATTTTCAATGCATTGTCTCTGAGAAGTATTCCACAGAATGAATAGAAGAATAGAAGATGAGCCTAGGGTACAGATTATTGCTTTGAGAGATATGCACTTGATATATTTTCTTGACTGCCCTGAATGGGGAAAATTTGCTGTTAGCTGTAGACATTTATTCTGTAGAATCTGAGTTTTTGTCAAAGCAAAATTTATATCCATAGAAAGACATAAAAACATTCCTGCACGTTACTAACATGCCATCATGCATGCTTATTAGCAGGATATGTCATTTCTGGCCAGACCTTTTCCAGAATCAAGTTCCTCTAGGATAACATTGTACTGTTAGTATGTTTGCAGTCTAGCTATCTGAATTTTTGCCCATGAAGATGTGCCTGACAAGTGATTAAATTTACACAGTATTTAAATTGTTTATTAGTAGGTTACAGGGGTTTTGTCCCTAACCCATGTACCATGTAGAGTTCACCTGAAGTAAGCCAACATTGTGCATCATTGTTTTGGTTGTCTTTTCTCTTTCCTCCTCCCAGGAGACTCACCAACAGATAGCGAACCAAAAGAGTCTCTATGTAGTGGAGTTCCGGGAGGAGCAGGGCCCTCTGCCCATCGTTGTGGCACTGCCTGAGGGGACTGTCCGCGAGGATCCTGAGCCAGAAGATGAGGTTCCAGACACAAAGCTGGAGTGGAGTGAGGTGAAAGAAGCTCAGGGAATGAAGAAATCTCCCTGGGCAAATGTCAGACGGACAGTATGTTAAAAGCATCAATCCCTCTGTCTCTTCAGCTCAGAGATGCAACTGGGAAAGCCCAGCTCAAATAGACAGGTTGGCCAGACTGATGTTTCACAGGAGGGCAGCTGTAGCTCCATCATGCGATTCACGTAGTTGAAGCCATTGCTATCATTCAGTAAGACCGTTTGCTTTCCCACGATTCTTCTGACCACAGTTTGGCTGGGGATGTTCAGATGGAAACAGTCAGTGAACATGTCTTTGTCTTCAAGCATGCATTCACTCCATTCCAGAAGATGATGTTTGATCATGAGCTCCCATGTTTGTTTCACAAGCTCTTGGGAAACTACTGAAAATACAAGATTGTGAAAGCAATAAAGAATCATCAGAATGATTGTCGTGTGGGTTTGTTGGGGCTTTTTTTTTTTTTTTTGCAAAATGCTACTATCTGGGAGATCTTGAAGCAAGCAGCAGTAGTGGGAGGTAATGTGTCCGCTCTCTGTCTCACTCCCTAGACTCGCTCATTATGGTGTGGAAACTGTGAAATCAGAAAATAGAAGTAGCTAGATTAGCTCACTGGTTGGAAGGGATCCATCACCCAAGTCACACCAGAAAATAAACAGACTCCACATGCACATGATAAGACATAATGGTCTGTGCTGGTTTGAGCTGAAGTAGAGTTAACTTTCTTTATAGAGACTAGTATGAGGCTATGTTTGGGTTTTGTGCAGAACACAGAGTTGATAATGCAGAGATGTTTTTGTTGTTGCTGAGCAGAGTTTACACAGAGTCAAGGCCTTTGCTGCTTTCCGTACTGCCACACTGACGAAGGAAGTTGGGGATGCATGGGAGATTGGGAGGAGACACAGCTAGGACAGGTGACCCAAACTGACCAAAGGTATATTCCATACCATATGACATCATGCTCAGTATAGAAGGTGGGAGGAAGAAGGAGGAAGGGGGGACATCTGGAGTGATGGCGTCTGTCTTCCCAAGGAACCGTTATGCGTGATGGTCCCTGCTCTCCTGGAGATGGCTAAACACCTCCTGTCTTTGGGAAGCAGTGAATTAATTCCTTGTTTTGCTTTGCTTGTGTGTGCAGCTTTTGCTTTCTCTATTAAACTGTCTTTATCTCAACCCATGAGTTTTTGTAGCTTCTACCCTTCTAATTCGCTCCCCCATCCCGTTGGTGGGGGAGTGAGTGAGAGGCTGTGTGGTTCTTGGCTGCTGCCTGGGGTTAAACCACGACATGGTCTACCTGGCAACTCCATGTTTTTGTCTTGGGCATGGCAAAAGAAACAGGGAAACCAAACCCAAACAATGTTTTCTCACAAAATATTAGAGCAATCCAAACTATAAAACAAGTCAGGGGTTAATTTCTGTGCCTCCCAGTGTCAGAGTGCTTGTCATGGCATTTCTCTGTATGCGGAAAGATGCTTGTACCACCTCTTTTGTGTATGGGAGAAATTACCTTAGAAATCTTTCAAGAGCAACCTGGGAATTTATATTTTCAGTTCTGCTGTTAAAGACATTTAGGAGCAGTATTTTACACTGATTTCAATGCAGGTTTCTAAAGAGAGCAGTTGTATATATACAAGCAGGCAGAGTGAATTGAGTTTTCCCTCACTCTTGTAATGAAAATTCTCATTCAAAGGCCGTATCTGCTTAGCAAGTCTTGAAGGGTTTATTCCTATTTGCCAGCTCAATCTAAATACAGCTTCAATAGGATTGCCAAGTGTTAAGTTTGCAAACTTTCTTGTAAGCAGCATGTCAAACTACAGTTTGAGAATGTGTGCTCACATTAGCTTGCATCTTACTGTTGAGCAAAATCAAAAATTAAAAAACTGGGCTGGACAAATTGGATCTTGCTGTATTTAGATGATCTTCAAGACCTTCTGTCCTTGCAGAAACAGAGAGCTGAGGTGAGTTGACTCTGCTATTGATCCAAAACAAACTCAGCTTGAGTAGCAGAGGAAACCTAAAGTGTCTAACTGGATCAACTCTTTGTCATTTGCTTCCGTACAGTGAGCAGGTGGATTTTGCCAGCATCTTCTCTTTTCTCAGAATTGGGAATAAGGTGCATGTCTGTAGCAGGTGATTGCATCCATGTTTGGAGATGTCCTGCTGCATCCTTGCACTCTGTTCTTACATTTCCTCGCCCAACACATATGGAGAAGCCCCCCATATTCTGGCCTAAGGATGGTGAAGGTGCCGCAGGAGATCATGTAAGGCAACTGCTGCACACAAACTGGGGATGTAGGTGATGTCAGTGTCTCCAGCAGGGCCCCATCCGTGTAGTGGGATGAGATGACAGCATTGGGCAGGCTCTTTTGTGGTCTTGGAAGGACTGAAGAAAGAAAAGCTGCAGGGACAGGTCCTTAACCAGCAGCACCCAGTGCAGAGCAAGTTGTAAAGTCCAGCTGTCACCAGCTGACCAGGGCCTGAACCTCGTTCCTTGGGTTCCTTGTGCAACCCAAACTCAGATCTCACACCACATTTTTTCAGTTTGTGAGGCAAATAGACCATCACTTGACATAAAGGTCCAAGCATGTCTTTTGCGTGTGGAGGTCTGCAAACAGATATCTCCCTTGAACCCTTCTTGGTCACTCAGTAATTTCTGTTCTTGCTGCTAATGTAAAGCAACTCATTATTCTCAGTGGAGAGGCATTTTTCAGAAACTGCATGAAAATATTTATTTGGTACAGCAGGTTTAGGGAGGGAAACAGACTTAACTGGACAGGCAGCAATTAAAATTACACCGTTTTATACTCATGCTCCTTAGTGTTGGTTGTTCAGGTTTCCCCTGATAGCAACAACAACCCTGGAGGCATGAAGATATGGTTCCGTGAGATTTTTAGCACTTTGAACCCAACCCCCTATGTTTTTTAAAGCTGGAAGTTTTTCTTTTTGGGACCCAGTTACCAGCATCAAACTGTACCCAACCCAGAAAAGACTGAAGGGAAACAGATAGTGCCAGGATATAGCTTTCTCTGGCAGGATCCTTGTCTTCACTGCCATGATCCCACATAAAAACCTGCTTGTTTATGAAGTATAAGCATTAAAAAACAAAATGCAAACCCAGCCTGGAAACTGCAGTTGTTGCTCATGGGACCACTACGACATATGCTGTCCAGAGGAGGCTCTCAGGATGATTTCCATCACGGGACAGTGTACAGCTT